ATAATAAAATATATATTATTATTTACATTATACTATATACAATATATTATGTTATGTTATGAATTTAAAATGGCTTCGAACAATTAATTTTCTAACTGTAAAATGATAAAAAAAAACAAAAGAAAAAAAGAAGAATAAAAAAAAGAAAAAACAAAATATGTGACTTAAGTCTACGACATTATATAGAATTATCAAATAAATAAATAATAATGGAGAATTTTAATAAGGATTAAATGAGATTGAATTTGGTCATTTTTCTTCTTTTCTTTTTTTTTTTTTATTTTTTTTTCTTTTTTTTCTTTTTCGTTTTCTTTTTATTTCTTTGCTCTTTTACGTCCAATTACTACGAACTGGTTCGTTCGAAGGATTCGTGAATGGTCCACCGTAAGAATTACAAAAGGAAGAACATGTGTCGGACGAGGAGAGAAAAGAACTAAAGAAAACCGGATTTCGAGGGAGACGAGACAATTCTTTCTTCAATAAGAGTAGAACGGACAGAAAACCACTTTTCGTGATCTCTGAAACACAGGCAGCGATTTTAACGGCCGACCAATAATAGGAAATCATGGTCGGGTCGGTTGGTCAGTCGTGGGACCATAAAAGGTATATTTGCTTTAACAATGGGTGAGGAGGGGACAAAAAAGGAAGAGAAAGGAAGAGAGAGGAAGAGAGAGAGAGAGAGAGAGAACAACTCAGGAAGTGTAAAAATCGTTGAATAATCATTAAGATCGGGAATGTAATCGATACTTCGTCGATTATTTCAATAATCATCTGTTTTCATAGCGGTTTAGTTCAGTTAAGAAAACAGAGACACACAGACGGACAGGTAGATTAGGCAGATGGAAAGAGATTGAATTAATAGTTGACAGTGATTTATTCGTAAAAATAAAAAAGAATAATAAAAAATCGAATTCGTTAATGTTTCGTGCTGGAGACGATTGAAAGATTCAATTTTTCTTTATATTTTTTTTTTTTTTTATATTTCTTTATATTTTTTTCTTTTTTCTTATATTTTTTTTCCACCAACATTTAATTACCACTCTGTAATGCAACATCCATACACTTAAGAATGCCGTTTTGATATTAAGGTGGGTTAATAAAAACTATGTCCCATCTTTTTTGCTTAGCTTTTTATGCATTATGAGATATATTTTAACCCATCTCGAATAATTGTAATCACTCATAGTAACAAATATTTTAATGTTAAATTATTGAAATGAACGTTTTTTTATTTTTACCTTATTTTTTTATATTAAAAAAAAAAAAAAAGATAAAAGATAAAAGATAAAAAAGAACTTGAATTTTTATTTGCTTTAAAATCGTTTATCTTCAAAAAGTTAAAATTGCTAATCGCGAAGGATTTTGAACTGAATAATTATCAAACATAATGAATATGTAAATAATTTATTTCATTGATAAAGCGTTATTATTTGTTGTATAATTTGTAGTATAGTGAGAGAGAGAAAAAAAAATAAACAAAAGAAAAAAGAACCGTCTCTATATTATGTATAATTGCAAATTATAATCAATATGAAATTTGTAGTGTTATATCGTATAAAGTATTTACATAGATAACTGTAAATACTATCACTATACTAAGTATATACGTACGTATATAAGTATAAATAACTATACTAAGCATATACATATATATATATAGAATTCTGTAATGTAACTATACTTGGTATAACAGTATTATATAAGTAATAATAATGTTAATATAAAAGTACTATACAAGTACTACTATAGTATAAATACCAATTATAGTTTAGTTATGTAACTACTTAGTATAAATATAGTACAAGTACTACCCGTAACTTTCACATTATATAATGTTTTTTTTCTTTTTCTCTTTTTTTCTCTCTTTCCTTCTCTCTCTCTCTTCTCTCTTTTTTCTCTCTTTATCTCGCTCTCTCTCATAGACACAAAATTGGGTTATACGGGATTAAGTAATTTCTCTTATGTGAGCCACCTCTACCGTTTATGACGACTTAATTTTTTTTTTTTTTTTTTTTTTTTTTTTTTCATTTCCACATCTCATCTCTTTATTTTGACGTACGTTTCAGTCCGTCAATAATTCTCAAATTCACAATTCGATACAATATAAAAAAATTTATATCAGACACCGCTTTTAATACATTTATAACGTGAAATTTAATACAACAATATTTAATTCTATATTATTTATCGAAATGAAAATTAAATGTTTCTCTTTCGACTCTTCGTTCTTAAAAGTTCTTATCCGGTCCGTCATCATAGTGTTCATACGAGAGAGACAGATAGAAAGAGAGAGAGTGAGAGAGAGTGAGAGAGAGACAGAGAGAGAGAGAGAGAGAGAGAGAGAGAGAGAGAGAGAGAGAGAGAGAGAGAGAGAGAGATAATACTCTTGAAGCAAAGGCAGTCACCGTGTTTCACAAAGGGAAACGTGTAATGTATGTATATGTTATATATATATGTATTTATATATGTAAGTAGTACGTACGTATGTATGTGTATGTATTTATGTATGTACCGTCTTGCGAAGGCGAGTCAGAGGGGCGATACGCTCGTCTGCACCGGAAAGCGAAACGTTTCTTCGTTCGCTCCGCTCGAGATTCTTTTGTTTCTTCTATTTCTTCTTCGATGAGAGAGAGAGAGAGAGAGAGAGAGAGAGAGAGAGAGAGAGAGAGAGAGAGAGAGAGAGAGAGAGAGAGAGAAAGAGAGAGAGAGAAGAGTGAGAGAGAGAGAGTGAGAGAGAGAGAGTGAGAGAGAGAGAGTGAGAGAGAGAGAGAGAAAGAGAGAGAGAGAAAGAGAGAGTGAGAAAGAGAGAGTGAGAAAGAGAGAGAGAGAAAGAGAGAGAGAGAAAGAGTGAGAGAGAAAGAGTGAGAGAGAGAGAGAGAGAGAGAGAGAGAGAGAGAGAGAGAAGTCAAAGTGCAGTATGAAATATTCGCAAATTAAATTTCATCGATAAAATATCTATCGATACTCTTAAAAGATATTTCTGGTTTCTCATCCTTTTCTTTTTTTGTTTCTTCCTTTTTTTTTTATATGTATATTATACTATTATGTTTTAATGTAACATAATAAAATATGTGGTATATTGAAACATAATATAGTATAATAGTATACTCTATTGCATATAGTATTAGGGAGACCGGAAAGTAATGTCGTTTCTGCCCATGTCGATATTTGATTGTGATTAAAAATAAAAACTTGTTAAAAATTTATTCGTTTGAATTTAATTTAAGAAAGCGACCACTTTCCGGTCCCCCTAATATATTACTATAATATAGTATTCTATTCTATTGTATTATATTATAATGCAATATTACATTATAGTTCTAAATTATAGTTATATAGTTATCGTAGCATAGCATAGTATATACCATTGTATATATGTATTGTATATGCATATGCAATTCGTATTCATTAGCGATTTAGCTATACACATATATATATATATAAATTTAGATTTATATTATATATTTAGATCTATTATCTTTATATAAAAATAAGTGCGTATGCGTGTGTGTGTATGTGAGTGAGTATAAGTGAATCGTTTATAGCTTCGAGTCAGACTCATTGTACAAGACCCATTTTTATGTTATGCATTATTAAAGACTTTATCAAGGTCTTCTTTATAAAGGGTTATACAAGGTCACCTTTTGTATACATAAACGTACATACACTATTTTCCGGTAGTTTCGTGGCCGAGTCTGATTCAGTCACAGAGTTCGATTTAAACAAATAATAACACGATAACAATCGAAATTATCGTTCCCTAATCGTTCGCTTTGACGATTGCACTTTGTTCCAACCATCTTTGTTCTTCGTTCTTAATATTTTTTCTTACACACGATTCTTAAGTATCGTGAATTTCATTGTAACTTCAGTAATTAATATGAATTCACTCTTGCAAAAATTGATTTTTTTCTATTTCTTCTATTTTCTTTTTTTTCTTTTTTTTTTTCTTTTTTGTTGTTTAATTTATTTTTCACTGCAACAACGTCATCGTTTTCTTCATATTTTTATCTTTTTTTTTCCTCTGTCTCTCTCACTCACTCACTCGCTCACTCACTCACTCATATGCGAATATTTCATTCGCAAGAAGGAACGAACGAACATATACGAACGGATTCGACACGCATCGCGTGTCGCAATTCCTACATATACGATTTATATGGCGTGACTTGTAGTCTAGACGTTAGTTAAAAGAGGAGCGAAGGGAGGGAAAAAATAGCTGCAATAGGAAAGTGCATTTCTTTTTAAAGACCGATTCGATCGATCGATAGACTTAAATAGTGAGAACTCGATCATGCTCGTCGATACTTTCACCCGAATTGTCTAACCCGTTCGAACGGGTCAAAGAAAACAATTTAAATGATTTTTACATATTTTTTCTATATAAATGCTAATTTATTGCGTCATATATATATGTATATATACACACACAAATATGTAAGTGTACTTACATGTTAATAAGTGTAATATGTTAATATAAAACAGGTATGTATATATATATATAATATATATAAAGTATACAATATAAAAAGTAATATAATACTTAATTAAAAAAGGTTTTACCTTTGTGTTAGATACGACACTTATTAATGTTACAAAATATCCATCCTATAATATTATATAATATATACAACATACACATCTTATAATTTTATATTATATATTTATTTATATATTATATATATATATTTTTTTTCATATTTAATAGACGATACTAAATTTATTCCGATTATTTTCTGGTAACATTAATGAATTTAAAAATATCGATCGATCATGTAGTTTCAAACTATTTTAATCGGTTAATTATAACAGATCGATGGTCAGGTCACACCTGATCACAATGTCATGTTGTTTACGTTGCGGATCACGCGTGTTACACACTATGATCGTGACGATGACAACGATTATTTGTCTCTACGGTAACTACGACGATGATGGCGGTACAGTCGGTGACTGGTGGTACCACCGCCTCTATCGAGATACATGTATCATCGGCGCCATTTTTTTCATTCCTCTTTTTTTTTTCTTCATTCTTTTTTCTTTTCTGCATGAAGTACTATATCATTAACCGTTGTCTCTCGGATGTTTTACGAGCCATCGTGGCCATTTTTTTCTTGATTATCCTTGTGAAAAAAAAAAATATTTTAGAAAGAAAACTATGCCACAGATGTGTCCACGCTATCGTAATTTTTATCAGTTTGTGTATAATTTTCGATCGTGCGATCGTTCATTTTTTGCGTATTTTCTTTTTCTTTTTTCTTCTTTTTTCTTTCTTTTTTTTTCTTTTCGAATTTTCGAGAAAGATTAAAAATGTTTCTTCCTCTTTTTTTCTCTCTTTTTATCCACTTCTTTTAGCTATGTTTATCAACTAATTTCTATTTTTTTTCGATTGTTCTAAAAAAAAAAAAAAAAAAAAAAAAAAAAAAAAAAAAAGGAAGAAAGAATAATAATAAAAAGTGAGATAAACTCGCGGCATTCGTGAATTTTACGCGTAATTTTATTAATCCCGATCGTTTCGTCATTCACTTTTTGCAAATAAATCGACTTTATCTGATTTCTTTAAAATTAGATAAAAATAATTTACTATTTCGAGTTCAAAAATGCGATAAAGTAAGTTTTATATCGACGAAATATTTCATACGTTAAACTTTTTCTAAATAAATCAACTTTATCGGATTTCTTCGAACATTAATAAAAATGCAATTCTTAGTACAATTCGTCGATTTTGAATTTTTATGAATGTTACAAAGCACATTTCATACAATAAAATATTTCTCTCTCCCTTTCTCATTAAAAAATGTATTCATATTTAAAAAAAAAAAAAAAAAAAAAAGCGAAGGGAACGCGACATCATTACGATTTTCAAATAATTCTCATAAAATCTCGATCGTTTTCATCGATCATGAATCCTTTTTCGTAAATAAAAATCAACTATAATTTCATTTCTTCGAATATTCTTTTAAAAAGAAACTTTTCCAATTGGTATCTTACAGTTTGTGAAATTACTGAAATGTGAATGAAGAACAAAAAGAAAAAAAATACATTTTGCGTACGAAGTAAAGCAAAAAGAAGGGAGAGAAAGATAGAGAAAGAAAGAGAGAGAGAGAAAATAGCTAGGTTTAGCAAGCTACATTAGCGCAATGGAATAAGCTAATATGAATGTATGTATAATGTATATACATATGCAGGTATGTATTTATGTATTATGCACCTATGCATGTGTGTAATATGTATGTAGCTTGTAAGCTCGAATAAGAGTGGGCGAAGAGAGTAAGCAAAAGCAACCAAGGAGATATTTCTCCTTGGATATCGAAGTGGAAGTAATGGTGGAAGAGAGCAAAAATATACGAGCGACGGGCAGTGCACCGTGCGTACATTCGTCGTTCGTTTCCCATCTTATGCACATACATGCGTAAGTACGCACGAGTGCGCACGTTTATGCTGCTGCTTACTTTCTTGCTTGCTTGCTTGCTTGCTAGCTTGCTAGCTACTGCTGCTTTCGCAACCTTGAGAGAGGTTCTTTGTGCGGTTCAGCGCGTTTCTTCTGAATACTTTGTGTGGTGTGTACGTGTGTGTGAATGTGAATATATATATACATATACATACATATATATATATGCATGTATGTTAGTATAAATGTATATTATGTTCGATACGCGATCAAATATTTGTTATTTAATTATCTTAATTATTCCTTATTCAATATCGACATGAAAAAAGGAGAGCGAGCGAGAGAGAGAGAGGAGGGGGATATTCTTAGTATAGATTTTATCTACTGTTTGTATATAATGAATTAGCATTTGTATTGTATACTAAATTAATCTTCTTTTTAGTATAAATTTTTATAACATTAATCTAGTATACTAATGAGTTTTAATATATTTAAAGTTCATTGAATATTACAAAGGATTAGTATATACATTATATACACATATGGCCATATGAACAAGTATTAATATACTAAAAATATATTAGAATATTAAAAAAAAAAGTAGATGTTAGAGTTCTAGAAATATTAGTACATTTATTAAAATAGGTATTAGATAAACATTTAGATTAAATGATAATGTTATATTGATTTAATATGATAATAATAACTAGTGTGTACTAAATTAGTACATGTTTATTATATAATATATCTTGAAATAAGTATGTATTTATTATATAATATATCTAAAATTATTCCTTACCATCGTTCGTAAAATAAATTCTTCTAAGTTCCTTCTATTTCCGTCACGAGCATACACGCTTCTTAACATATAAGATATCTCTTTCTCTCTCTCTCTCTCCTCTCTCTCCTCTCTCTCTCTTTCCTAGCACGCTTCAAGTTTTCCTCTTCGTTCGGACACGCGTGCGAAATGAACCCTGCTGAGACAGCTGAGTGAAAGAGAGACAGAGAGAGAGAGAGAGAGAGAGAGAGAGAGAGAGAGAGAGAGAGAGAGAGAGAGAGAGAGAAGAAAGAGAGAGAGAGAGAGAGAGAGAGAGAGAAAGAGAGAGAGAGAGAGAGAATCTTAAAGGAAGAGAAGAATGACTGCTGTCTAGTCCGATGGCTCGAAACGTTCGGTGAATCATTGAAGACGACAAGACGAAGCGCGGTTAATGCGCTTATTCGAATGCTATTGCTGCTACTTTACGAAACACGTGTGTGTTTTTTTACCCCGTTCTCTCTCCCTCCTATACCATCTCCTCTCTTTCTTTCTTTTTCTTTCTATTTTTTTTTCTTTTTTCTATTTCTTTCTCATTCGAAGCTACAGAAACTCGTCGTGAATTTTAGACGACGTTTCTCAGAAAATTCGGATGAGGTTTATTTTCTCAATTAACGACTTACGACCCGTCCTTTCTCCTTTCTTTTTCGTTTGGTTACTCCTCTCCTATCCACCCTATCATCAACCCTTCTTTCTCTCTCTCTCTCCCTCCCTCCCTCTCTCTCTCTTTCTCTCTCTCTCTCTCTCTCTCTCTCTCTCTCTCTCTCTCTCTCTCCCTTTTTTTTTTCTCACATTTTATTTTATTTACTGTATACAAGATAAAACACACACCTTCACCAGGACAACACACGTGACGTAATATTCAACGGTACGCATAGAAATTCGTGTATAATATACCTGAAACGTGATTAACATTCTCTTTCTTTATTATAATTTATACATATTTATTTATGTATGTATGTGTATATATACATGTTATATATATATATATGTATGTATGTATGTATATATGTATATGTGTTAAGTGTATGCGCGTATGTACCTATATATTTTATTATGCGCGATACGTAGTGTTTTAAGCTCGTTAATAAACGAGCAAACGTTTGCACGATTTAGCATGTCTCTTCTTGAAAGGTCGTTCGAAATCCACGCAAGGATAATACAAAGTTTTCTTCTCTGCGTTGAAGGAGAGGAAAAAAAGAAAAGAAAAAAGATATAAGAAACTTGGGAAAATTCTAATAATATTTGTCTTACGCCGAGAATACCTGGATCACCCGTCGTCTCCATCCTTCTCGCTAATGCAAATACGTGTGTGTGTGTGTGTGTGTGTGTGTGTGGTGTTTGTATTATTTGTGTGTGTGTATATATATATATTTGTATTTACATACATGCTTTTCTTCGAGCTCTCTCCCTTTTTTCTCTCTTTCGAAATCTGATGGATTTTCTCTTCCCTCTCTCTCTCTCTCTCTCTCTCTTCTCTCTTTTCTCTCTCTCTTTCTCTCTCTCTCTCTCTCTCTCTCTATCTCTTTATATATATATATATATATGTATATATATCTTTCTCCCCTCTTTCTGTATCACTCGTATCTTTGTGCTGACCACCATGAAAAGATAAAAAAAGAAAAAGAAAAGGAAAAAAGAACGTCGGTATAAAATATGGCCGACTCGTATCAATGTCATACAACAGACATGCATACATACATGCATACTTACGTAGGACGTCGATAAGTATACATACATATACACAAAAAAATGTGTATATAAATGTCCTGCGTAAGTACGTATGCGTTTAGTGTTACATATTACTTATTATTAATTTAGAAAACGTTGAACGCGACACAACAAACGATTTTATGACGAACAGAACGACACAACAAACGATGATGACGATCAGAATGACACACCAATGATGACGACGATGACAAAATGAAATAATAAATACACATGATGAATTCTGTGAAACAATACGATGGTGCAACTTGAAATCAAGAAAAAAAAAAAGAAGAAAAAAGAAATTTATCAATGAAACAAAGAAGAATATCGAAGAAAGAAATCTAATAGGGTGAGGGAGGAAGGGTGGTAGATAGTCTGCCAGAGTCAGAGGGAGTATGGGAGGCAAGAAGGGAGGGAAGAAAAAAAAGATGATTAGCTGTGAATGTAATGGCGGTCGCTGACTGACGGATCCGCGGCGTCGGTCGCGGCCTATCTCTCTGAGCTTGGAAATTTCCACTTGTGGTTATATCGTTATGTATGTATATATGTATGTATGCACATGACATGACATGAATATGTGTGTGTCTCTCTGTTGTGCGTTGCACACGCACGTATATATGTGTAAAATGCCTCCGTGACGAGAAGAGGGGGGAGAGTATTGGTGGGAGTTAGAATGGAATATTGGTGGGGTTGTAATCGCGTCTCTTGGCGTTTATTATATCGTCGTCGATTATGACAATACGATTCTCGATGTTGTCATTTAAGAATCGAACCTCGAAACAGCGATTCTCTTCGTTCGCCTTTGTAACGTGACGATAAACTCCAAAGCCCGGAGAGAGTAAATTCAGCCGTGAGCATATTCCGCGTGATTTCTCGAGTTTCGCGATATTCGATAGCCCCTCCTCCCCTTCGCCCCATCTCTGTATCGTCCTAATAGCCCTTCCTTCCCTCCTTCCTCCATCCGGGCTTTGGTTGCACGTTGTTCTATTTATTTATTTATTTTTTTTTTCTTTTTATCCAACAATCAAGAAAAGAGAATTTTGCGTGTTCCTATTTTTTTGTCCCTCTCTCTCTCTCTTTCCTTTTCTTTTTATTTTTTTTCATTTTTCTTCTTTTCTCTCCCTTTCATCTCTTCCTCCGCTCTCCTCCAATATTCATAAACAAATATTCGTTCTGTTTTATTTTAAACGAAAAATTAATTTTTAACTATTGATTAATCGCGACGTTAGAGTGATAAAAATTTGAAATCTTCGAAAGTGTTTGTTTTTCTTTTTTTTTTTTTTTTATTTATAACAATTTCTTTTCTTATTTTTTTTTTTGTTTTTTTTTGTTCGTTTCATTTTTCGAATTCAATAATTTTAAACTTTGGCGATATATATCTTTAGACGATGGCACGTCTTATCTGAAACGCCTTATTGAGATTTTAAAGTATCAACGTAACATGGCGTAATTCTCGCATCGTGAAAGAGATAAATCACACTGTTTAATACTTTTGTCTCGAGAAAGGAAAGGGAGGAAGAGGGAGAGAGAGAGAGAAAGAGAGAGAGAGAGAGAGAGATAATAGCAAGAGAGATATGAGCAAGAGATCTTTATTTTCGTAGTTTCTCGAAGACACGACATCGACGGTTTACGCTCTGTTCAACAAAGTGGAATTTTCCTTCAACGACAATAATACTTTTATCTCTCGATCGTTAAATTTTTTTTTTTTCATAACAAAACTCGTACGGTCGTTGTTGTCAATAACCTCAAAGTATTTTGTGGATTACTAGATAAATCGAACGTTCATTTTTCTTTATCTATGATTATATATACCCCTTCTCCTTCACAAGAAAAAACCTTTGAATTTCAAATGATTAACATATTTTTTAATCATTGATAAAGTGACGACGACAAAGACGACTATGACGACGACGTAAGCAAATCGCGATACTGATTCATAGCTTATCTAAACTTATTAAGAGCAAACATAAGTCAAAATGTTCGACAAATTTTTTTTAACCGTCGCTTTCTAATCTAATCTAAGCTTAAGAAAATATCTGACAAATGGTAATGGTCAAAAAAAAAAAAGAAAAAAAAAAAAGAAAAAAAAAGAAATGGTCGATAAAATATAGGGTTTGTCTGATATCTATAAGAGAAATCGTCACTTTTGTTCAGATTAATGTTTTTCGAATTTCAGGAATAATTATTCTAAGACTGGTTTGATTTTTACGAATTTCTCCGTTACTTCGTACCTTTTAGCAACAGGCTTTATTTTATCCTTGCTCAGTTTTAAGTATTTTAAACGATTCCGGATACTAATTGGTATTGTATCGGTATTTTTCTGTTGTACCTTTATACCGTAAAAACCAAAAATGTCCGGTATTAGGAAAAAAACCTATGCTTACCGATAATTATTTTTGATAGTTGTTTTATTACAGTTTTTTTTTTTTTTTTTTTTTTTTTGAAAATTCATTAAATTATTCATGGAATCTTCTGAAATAAAAAATTTCTCATTTTCTTTTTATTAAAAAAAAAAAAAAAAAAAAAAAAATGTTGATTTTTTTTCTAATTGATCATGTATCGTCATAGAACATTGGTTTACCATGAATCTTCCTCCTTGTCACTGTTACTATGGAGGATGATTCTTCACTTTTTACCACGAGGACATCAAAAGAGAATATTTAAAAATTTTTGATTAAAACGATAAAAAAATGTTCGAGAATTGTATTCTCTAATCGCAACAAAATAATATAGAAAGATGATTTTCATCTTTTAAATATGTGCTTTTAAGCTATTAAGATAATTTTATTATATCCTTAGATAACGATATATTAATATTTAGGATTAATAAATTGATGATTGTTAACTATATTTTTATTGGTTTTAAATTATTTGGAAAAAGAAATATGTCTTTGTCTTAATCGATCGAATCTGTGATTAATTATCGAAATAAATTTCGATATTTTTATCGATTTTCAATAATATATCGTTTTTGATATTTATCGATTTCATAAAATATCAGTTTTAAGGTTACTTAATAAAATATCGATATTTTATACACATATACAGATATTTAAAGATTTTTGCTTCTTACTGAAAAAGTATTATTAGCTGTTAAAATTTCATTTTCAGTTCTTTGGAAGCGTTATTTTATCGATTCTTTGTATTTCTTTTATCTTGAAGAAAGTTCAATACATATTTTTGAACAATTACGTATTCCTTTTAAAACCCTAAAACCCTTTTGCTGGTTCCCTTGGATTTTTCTAAATTTCTAAAAAAAAAAAAGAAAGAAAAATGATTTCAAATATCAATTTCTTTTCAATTGAAATCTCTTCGAAATCGATAAATTTTTGTTACATTTATCCGACATAAAAAAAATGGTAACGTTGGCATAAATGACTCGTGATAGTGCACGAGTACACACTTTTCGTTTATATCGATTTCATAATAGAATTGCATATTACGTTAATCAGTTTCGTAAAGTCATCAATATGAGGTATCAATAAGAACGATAATAAAAATCTATATAAGAAGATTATATATTATATATCAAGTAAAATCAAATGGTAGTTAATATAGAACCAAGATATATCTATAATAGTTATAATATTATTTCGGTTTTTCATAATTGTTTGAAAAATTGGAATCAATGTTACAACTTCCTTTCTACAACTCCTAACAATTTTATGATTTCTAATTTTAATATAGAATATTTTTTATTCACATAACAGATTGACATTTTCAATCAATTATTGCAATACTGATAATTCTTATCCTATGGACGAAGAGTTTGAAGTTTATCTATTTGTTAATATGGCGGAGTTTGACTAACATCGTACGGAACAAATTGAATAAACCTAATTACCACAAGGTCTGACATTTCGACCTTATCATGTAAAATAATAGGTTTCTCTTATTAAACTTATACGAAGAAATTAATTAATTAGAACTACAGAGTAAATGAAGATATCGAAATATGCTGTATTCATATAAAATTCTTAATTCGAGCAAAATTTTTTTCGCATGACTATAATCACATTTAATATATTAGCGAGCGTTTCAATATTGGATGATTATAGTAACCTCTAATAAGAAATGTAATTGTAAAAGTACCTTATCTAAGGTATACGTTGGAATTCGATTTAAAACATTTTAAAACCTTTTTATCCTTTATGAATGAAGAAAGGAATAGAGGAAGGACATCTTTTTCTTTTGATAGCTTTTATAGTTAATGTTTATATTTGGTAGTTATATTGAACCATTCTAATCTCAACCCCATCTTACGTTATTTTAATCCTGATTAAGTCTGATCCGAACCATATCTGTTTATCTTAAAATGAAACGAGAATTAACGATCCCAAGTTCTACTCATCTCTTTTTTCGAATAGTAGGAATGTAATTAAGGAGAACAATCTTCAGGAAGTTACTAAGCACACGTTCTTCTACTATCAATGGATACGATTAAGCAGCACCGTTATTTAGAAAAGATTGATGTTTCCGATAGACAGTTAGACAGGAGAAGGACCTTGAACGAAGCAATTTTCTTTAAGATAGAGCTGCTGATGGTGCAGCGATTTCCGTCTTTTAAATACCATAGAATCAAAAAAATGTGATATTTTATTTTTAAATATGACGACTATCGGATCACATAAATTACGTAATTGATGTTGTAATCGTTGGTAAGGTTCAATAGATTTTTTTTCCTTTTTTTTTATTATTATTATTATTATATTTTCTTTCTTTTATCTTCCAAACAAATAACGTAATCGTTATGAACGGCCGTAATTGGACGCTGACTTGCATTTTGTTGAAAGAGAAGGAGAAATAGTAAGAGACACAGACATTAACCGATATTTTTCGATGTTTATTATTTTTTTTTTTTGTTACAGAACACGACCTCTGCGAAGAGCAAGGACACGGGTACAAACAATGCAACGTCGGTATCATCGGCAAACAACAACAATGGCGCGAACGGAGGTCACGCGCCTTTACGTCGAAGCTATACTTCATTAGTAACGACATTGATCGAGCAACATCGTAAACTTGACAGGAGTGCGAGCGAGCCAACGTCTCGTTACAAGACGGAACTTTGTCGACCGTTTGAGGAAAGCGGAGCCTGTAAATATGGGGACAAGTGTCAGTTCGCTCATGGATATAGCGAGCTACGAAACTTGGCTCGTCATCCGAAATATAAGACAGAATTGTGTCGTACCTTCCACACGATTGGTTTCTGCCCATACGGACCACGTTGCCACTTTATTCACAACTTCGAGGAGGCTCGTATACACAATCAGAAGGTGAGCGCACAGCTAGGCTCATCGCAGCCCAACATCATGGGTTTGAATCCGTTGTTGGGTGCCGCTGCGGCAGCCGCGGCAGCCGCAGCAGCGGCCGCGGCCGGTGGTAATACCGCCGGCGTCACGGGTGGTAATAGCAACGGGTGTAACACCAGTACCGCAGCAGTCGCGGCAGCAGCCGCAGCAGCAGCCGCAGCAGCCGGTGCTGCTACGAATGCACCTAATAACGCAACCGCCGCCGCAAATTCCGCCAATCTTAGCGTTGGTCTGTTGGAACAGATAGCTGCCGCAAGCTCTTCCCAAGTAGCTGCCGTAGCCGCAGCAGCAGCAGCTGCCAATTCACCGCCGAATCTAATGAGAACGAATTCTCTTAGTTTGGCCGCGAGCACGGCCAATGCTGCCTTTACTCCGCCGCCTTTGCTCCGAACAAATTCTCTTAGCCTTGCCTCAAGTCATCATCACCATCAACAACATCACCATCAACATCAGCATCATCAACATCAGCATCACCATCATCATCATCACCATCGTCAAACAGCGGGTGGTGCAAACGGTGCTGCTGGTGGGAGTTCTATCGTTGGAGCTACCAGGCCAAAACCACTCAACCTTAGTCCGACATTTTCTCTCGGTAGCACGGCAGACTCCGTTTCGCCGTCATCGAGTCTCAGCCAATCTCCCACAAATTCAATGGCAAGTTTCTTCAGCGACGACTCGACGCAGCAACCTAACGTAACCAACAATCTACCGACAACACCTTTCAGCTTCGGTCAGGATTTTGGGATTCTCGCAACACGACAAACACCAAGTCCACGTACGAACGTTTGCAGTCCACTCGGTTCTGATGAGATCACCACACCAAGAACACCCTCACCGTTATCGCCTAACGCTGAGTCAAGGTTGCCTGTATTCAACAGGATCAGCAGCACCTTAGGTGACTTCGACAACCTTAAGATCTAAACTCCCTTCTGCCGCTGTGTTTCTTTGCGCGATCGAAAGAAAGACAAGAACAACAATAACAATAATAAC